GAGAGTTCTTGGATTTAGGGTTTAGGGTTGAACGTTTAGGGTTCAGGGATTTATGGTTCAGGGTTGAGCCTTTAGGGTTGAGAGTGCACACGTGAGGGTTTAGGATTTAGGTTCTGAGCTCAAAGTTCATGCAGGGACAACCCCATATGTACACTACACAAACTCAAAGCAGAGGGATACGGGTTCAGATTTTGAAAAAATCTTGAGCTCGGGTGTTGAGAATTTGGGATTTGGGTTCTGGGTTAGGGTGTAGGGTGGGATGAAGGGTGTAGGATTGAGGATTTACGGGTTGGGGTCCAGGGTTCAAGGATTAGGGATTAGGGATGAGGGATTGAAGACAAGGTTGGGGTTTAGGGTTTGGAGTTCAGGGATATAGGGTTCAGGGATTGGGAGGTTTGGGTTTCTGCGTTTGGGGTTCAGGGATTTCGGGTTTAGGACTGCGCCCTTAAGGTTTATGGTGTACAGGTGAGGGTTTTCGCTTTACGGTTTAGGACTCAGAGTTAATGCTGGGACAGCCCCAGATGTAAACCACACAAACCCAAAGCATAGTGTTACGGGTTAGGATTTGGGGGTGAGGGGTTGAAAGTTCGGGGTTCGGGATTAGGATTGAAGAGTTAGGGGTTGGGGGGCAGGGTGGGGTGTAGGGTGTGGGATGAGGGATGAGGGATGAGGGATGAGGGATGAGGGATAAGGGATGAGGGATTACGTATCATGGATTTAGGGTTCATGGATTTGGGGTTTAGGGTTTGGGAGTTGAGGGTTTAGGGATTGGGTGTTGATCAAGGATTAGGGATTAGGGATTAGGGATTAGGGATTAGGGATTAGGGAGTTTAGGGTTTAGTGTTTAGGGTTTAGGGGCTGGGGTTGAGGATTTAGGGGTTGGGGTTCAGGGTTCAGGGTACGGGGTTTAGGGCTCAGGGTTTAGGGTTTAGGGTTTAGGGTTTAGGGTTTAGGGTTTAAGGTTTTAGGGCCTAGGGGTTAGGGTTTGGGATTTAAGGCTTAGGGCTCACGGCGTAGGTTTCAGGGTTTCCTCTCCACTACGAGGGCCTCAACGTCTAGCAGCTCCCCCCCTTCACTCGGTGGACTACAGGGGTACCTCGCCCATAAGAAAACGTCATCTCCTAGGCCCATACAGTAGGCCCATGCCTAGGGCATCACGGTGGTCCTAGAGGGGGCGCGCTTTCGTGTGAGCGAGGTACCTCTGTACGAATCTTTCAATCCGCCCAGAATCTGGGTGTAACGGCCCAAAGAGGGTGCCTGAACAGGGCTACAATCGCTGAAATTTAACGAGAGTTCGTTGAACATGAAAACCTCGTAGGCCGCCGTGTGGTTCTCTCTTCTTATGACTCCGCTAGAGGGGAGGCGTCTCACAAGGCCCGGGGGCCACACGAGCTGAGACCAAAACCCAGATGTGACCCCGCTTGGGAGGAGAGAGGCCGCGCCGGCCAAGGCCCACACACAAGCGAGAGAGAACTTACCTTCATTAGTCAACCACCGAGGCTCGTCACCTGTCCGACCGAGGCTCACACTTCTCCCTCAACTGCTCTCTCTCACGCCCCGCCGCGACCAGCAAGGTGCGTCTGTCCCTTGAGGTCCTTTAGGTTTTAACTGCTCCCAACATAGCCCAACGACACGCCTTTCTGTGGAAAAGATGTGCACTCTTCTCTCACCCAGCCGTTGGATCTCGGCAGCCAGGAGTTGGAGCGAGCGCCACCCCTGCGGAAGCCCTGCGCTGAGCGTGCCTTCCGATACAGGGATACCTCGCTCACAAGAAACCGCCCCCCCCTCAGGACCCTACAGTAGGCCTATGCCTAGGGTCCTATGGTGACCCTAGGGGGGGGGGCGGTTTCTTATGAGCGAGGTACTCCTGTAGCCCTGGTGTGAGGACGGAGTCCTGGAAAGGGCACGCCGCGGGACTCCGCCCCCACACTGGCGCACCGCATCCGCCTGCCTTCTCCGTCGTAGGTCTCGACTGTTCTACTATCCCTTAAGTGGCCAGGGGGTCTTAAAAGACCCACGCCAGGTGCTAGGCAGGTCCTAGGGCCCTACTGTAGGGCGTATGAGCCTACTGGCCACTTAAGGGATAAACCGGAAGCCCACCCTGTGGTTGAAAATAGTCGAAGCGGCGGTCGTGACCCAGGTCCTCCACGTGTACAGGGGTACCTCGCTCATAAGAAACCGCCCCCCCCAAGGACCCTACAGTAGGCCTATGCCTAGGGCCTTATGGTGATAGCCCTGTAGGACGGAACCAGCCACCCGCGGAAAGTCAACCACCGACGCGAAAAGTGAAGCGTCGACAGGAAAAATTCGACAGCCGAGGGGGAAAGTCAGTCAGAGCCTGCGAGATACGTTCGAAAAAACACCACACACCCTTAGTTCCGGTGTCCGCCTATGTTGGGAGCTCGAAGAACCTAAAGGACCTAAAGGAAGGGGGACCACATCGCCCTTTTGGGGGGTCCCTTGACTAGGGGTTTGGGGCTGGGTTTCGGATTTCGGGTTTCGGGTTTCAGGCTTGGGGTGTACAGGGGTACCTCATTCATAAGAAACCACCCGCCCCTAGGAACCTGCAGTAGGGATATGCCTAGGGCCCTATTGGGGGGGGCGGTTTCTTATGAGCGAGGTACCCCTGTAGGGCGTGGGGTTTGGGGTTCGTGGGTTTAGGGTTCAGGGTGTGTAAAGGACTGGGCCGGATTGCGAATCCTAGCTCTGTCTCAGTCTTTTCGGTTTCACCAAATTTGGTGAGACCAGGCTCTTTCCCGCTCCAAAGTTGATGGATTTGTACCACACACCCAGCATGTCAAGTTGAGAATAGTCTGCCAACCCGAGTGAGGCAGAGCTAGGACTGAATGTACCACAACTCAAGGGAAGCGAAAAGGGCAATTTGAAATTTAATGAACCTGGAGCGTGGTCGCAAGATTCATTTTGGGGTTAGATTTTAGTCGCAAGATTTACGCTCGGGTTTAGGCTTTAGGGTGTAGGGCTTAGGGTTTAGGGTTTAGGGTTTAGGGTTTAGGGTTTAGGGTTTAGGGTTTAGGGTTTAGGGTTTAGAGTTCAAGGTTTAAGGTGTAGGGTAAACCTAGAACCCAAAACGTTTTCGAAGCGCGTGATTTTTAGGTTATGAATATCTCATGTGACATTACCTAGCTCTGCCTCAGTCGGGTTGACAGACTATTCTCAAGGTGGCACTCTGTGTCCGTGGTAAAAAACCGTCAACTTTGGAGAGGAAACGAGCCCGGTCTAAGGGGTGGGGTAATTTCCGTAGGTGTAAAATGTGATCTTAGGGGAATCCATAATGATTGTATAGGCATACCATGCGTCCGAATTTAGGGTTCTGGGTTTCGGGTTCAAGGTTTCGGGTTCAGGGTTTCGGGTTTAGGGTCTAGGGTTTGGGGTTTAGGGTTCAAGGTTTGGGGTTTAGATTTGAGGGTTGAGAGTTTGGGGTTTAGATTTGAGGGTAAGGGTTTAGGGTTTAGGGTTCAGGGTTCACAGGGTGTAGGGTGTAGTGTGTAGTGTGTAGGGTATAGGGTATAGGGTGTCGGGTGTAGGGTTTGGGGGTTTAGAGGGGAGAGACCAGGAGCGTGAATCTTCCGACCAAAATCGATTTTTGGGGTTGTGCACCGCGTGATGTCGCCCACCTGCACCTGCCGGTTTGGGGTTTGGGGTTTGGGGTTTGGGGTTTGGGGTTTGGGGTTTGGGGTTTGGGGTTTGGGGTTTGGG